TCAATGGTTCCGATTTCTATTTTTAGTCATTGAAGTTTCTCCCTCGTTATTGCGTACCGAGATTTGTCGCTCGCAAAATTTACTAAAATCGCAGAACCATTAATCGACGTAGTAATGTCGACATTTATATTATCGCGTAAAAAGTGAAATTTCGAATCGGGCGACGTTGAATATTAAAATAAAGTGTCATGTATTTAAGCGGCGTAGTAATTAAACGTACACAATGTACCGTAACAAAATTTCCTTGCTGTTTTGTACACGGAATATTGCGAGCGGCGAAGTGACGAGTAAATTGTAGGACGCGCCATGCAAATGTAACACTGCCGATTCGAATACACGTCGCGCATCAAACGTATAGAAAAATTTTGACGCCTGTTACAAAATTATCCGAATGCATTGAATGACAATTAATACGGCAAAAATTCCAACGATTTTGCAACAACAAAAAAAAGGGGAAACATACGTAGTTACGGCAGTCGGTGCATTCATTATGTACATTTGATGTTTGCGTAATTGCCTTTGCTTTATTATTCCGTGGAGTATCGTATTTCAATTACTCCTGCTAACACGATTTTCAACAATCACTGCAGCTATTTCGTACACGAAATTTTCGCAGGGGTACTCCTACCTGCGTATCACTTCGCTGGATAACGAGTATCATTAATATTCATTTTGATGTTCTTTTGGCTGCTCTGTAACAATAAACGCGAAACATTATCCAGTTAGCTCGCGCGTGCAATCTTTTTGGAAATTGACGCAACAAGAGAAGGGAATTATAATAATGATAAACGACAAAAAGAATTCTTTTTTTTCGCGAAAAATTGCCAAATAAATCTTTCTTTTCTAGGTTTTTTTTTTTTTTTTGTTTTTTTTCCCAGACGGTAATTAGCGACGCACTGTTACCGTAACAGGTATTCCCTGAAGAAATTACGATTTTATTATTTAAAGTAGACGTTGCGGAGACTAGTGACTTTATGCATTTATGCTAAACGTTTACCGAGAGAGAATCGAGGAGGTAGAGATTTGTTCCTGCGCGAACAGCAAGAAACCCTTAATGCTGAAACTCACAAACAATTTTCGCGTTTGCCACGAAGAAGCGGCGGTGAATTTCGGAAGTTGGGTGTATGGGAATCCCAAGGCAGATCAATGTCGGATAAAAACAACGGATCACAGAATACGTGGCGAACTCGTGGGTTAGCGGAGAGCTCATAAATAAAAGATATTGCCAGCCAAGACAGAAAGAGAAGAGAGAGAGAGAGAGAGAGAGAGGGGGGGGGGAGTGGACAATTATTCTCGCATAGAACGACGTGCTTCTTGTGTCATCGAATACATTATACCCAGTGTGCATTACACGATGTACGTTTGCACTTTACGAGAGATTCCACTTAACCCAGGGCTGCGCAAGAGACTGTCTTTTTTTTCATTGTCAACAAAAACATGCCGCGCGAGTTGACTCGAGGAGGAGGCGATACTACCGAATGAGTGCATATTGCGCCAGGAATTATTCTATGCAAATCATATTATTCCCGCCTCACCGCATTACAACCGACTGTAATGTATTCCAGAGGGGGATTTATGCGGCTTTGCCGAATAATACCTGACTTAACACATTACTACGGGGAGTTGGGCGCGACAATAAGAGACTCAGCGAGAGGGATGAGCGCGCAATCAGTTGTTCTTAGTGTTCAAGCCATGCATGATCTGAAGCTCGCGGATGAGACGATACGATTATATTGTTACATCGGTAAAAAGCAATCGCACCGTAGGCGATAAATTCTGTAAGTCTTTATGAAGGAAAACAACACCTTGAATTATCGAAATAGATACATATCTGAAAATAATTGTGTTAAATCATCAAAGTAATTAAGAACGCTTAAACGTTGATAACAAATGAATGCTGTAAATGGTTTTGATATTCTAACAATCACAGTTTGAGCATTCTATATATAATATTATTTTGATGTGTCCAACAAAGTTATTTTTATATTTATAACTAGCTGAATTTTTGAATACTTCCGTACAGAATTATTAGTGCCATTTATGTTGAATGTATGTATCTCGAGTTCAACTTTATTTATTTCGATACATCGTAAAAAGAGGAAACTTCTGTATGGAAGAGTCGTATATAACAGAGTGATACAAAGGCAAATGTAAATTCATGGTAGATGACAGATGAAACTGCAATACGCGCTAACTAGATTAACCGGCTGACGTATAATCTTCTTTACAGCTCGAGGAGCTTAACGATCTGCTGTGTATTCGATAATGACGATACCGGTGCCATTAAAAGACGCTTGTCTGATGGCGATCGGCTTTCGGTTGGTTCGTGGATTTGCATAAAATGATTGGAAATCTCTCTGGGAGACGAGATAAAAAGAATGCTCGTTACTCAGTCAGCGACTTATCGTACACGATGTCAAATTTCTTCCGTCAGCCTAATGTACGGTCCTCGCCGCTGGCGGAAGGACGTCGCCGTTTCTAGAACAACGACCGGATGGGAATAAAAATTGGATGCAATCTCATTCTCTCTCTCTCTCTCTCTCTCTCTCTCTCTCTTCCTGCTCTCTCGTGTATCTGCGAAAACAGGTAATTACTCTAAGTTTATACTCAATTTCTCGCAAGTAAGAGCGACGCGAGATTACGTCCCAGGTTCGCGCTTCATGCGATATTGTAAACACGCTGATACTTCACCGAGAGTTAACGTCGCGGACACGTATTGCCGTACTGACAATAAATTACAACGTAGATTAGAATAGTTAATGCCAGCGCCATTCGAACGCGACGTTACCTAGTAAATCTTGCAATATCGTTGCACAACAGGACTAAATTTCGGGGAGAAAAGCATATCAGACGGAAAGCCGTGTCCAACGTTATTCATTAACAATATATCAAAATCAAAAACGGAGAAAGTACGGTCAACCCACGAAATGTCCTCGTGAGTGTAGAGAATATTTCACATCTGTCGAGAATAACACGTCTGTCACTTCGAAGTGCGAATGAGAGGATCTATATAATGAAAAAAATGTGAGATGTTTTTTCGCAAGAGCGATCCGCGAAACGGATGAAAAATTATACGTGTCCAAAGTGGGAGGCGTTTCCACCAACATAAGCTATTTTTCTCACTGCGTTTTTCTGTGTTCTACTGTTATCTCCGTTCCATCCCCTTTGTCACGGACACTCAGACGATGTAGCCATCCTCCATTTCTGAGTGGCATCTCCAAAGTTCCGGCGGGCGAGCCTGGATTTGAGCCCCGGACTGATGTTGACCGCGCGCGCAAAGTCTTAACCTGAGCCTGCCGAGACAGTCAATTATCGGCGGGTGCTGAAATCAGGGTAAATGCTGGCGGGTGCGAGAGGGATGAGAGAGAGTGGCGATGCCGTGATCTCGCGCGCGAAGGACGATGGATGCTTTCCTCGACGGTGGTGGCGGTTTACCAGTTGAAGGCGCCAGGACCAGGGCCGGAATTTTCGAACAAAAGAGCAGCGGTTCTGATTTAGTGGCGCGCATAATTTCGTCCTGGTCATAAATTAATATTTCCCAACTCGCTTTGTCCATTCGTCGACCTGCCTGCGGCCGCGAAAGAAAAGGATCTCGTTGATGAATGAAAATCCTTTTACATTCCTATATATATATTTTTTTAATATAAATTTGGATATATACATCACTCCTTTACTCGAAACTCGAAAGGTGACACAATTCAAAAACACGTAATTTTCAAATTATTACTATGAATTAGTTGAATAAGTATCGTCTTATCAATCATCGAAAGTGAAACCAACCTAACTTTATTAAAGATTTTTACATTATAAAAAATATTCGTAAAATGGTCACAATTTGAAAAGGATGGTTTTTAAGGATTCTGAAATAAAACATTTGATTATATCTTTTTAAATATATTCTTTTTACTGTGATATTATTTCATTAGTCAATAATTTTCTATCAAATTGAAAAATATATTTCTGCGAAACTTATTCTTACTAATTCTCTTGAGTTTTGTCATTTGAAGTAAGAAAGCAATATATATATATATATATA